CGAAGTTAGTGTTAACTTTTGCGGATAGAGGGTGTCGCGTGGTCAGTCCAACGAATCCCCACCGCTGTTAATTTTAGTTCTCTAGACCGGAGAAGGTTTTTCTTTGAAATAGCTCCTCAATTATGAACACGAGGCTGAGCGGACCCTATTCCAGACCCACTATTTCACAGAAAATCTGGTAGCGCCAAGGATCGAAGCCGGGACCTCTGTATATTTAGACAGGAACTCTGACCACAAGACCACAGATGCTTTCGATATTATAATATCTTATGATAACTTTCACTGTACACACTTTTTGCGCTTTAACTATCCATTGGAAGTAACGCATGCATATAAAACACCTTGCATTTCGCAGTTAAGCACTGTGGGATTTGTAAGATTTTCAACTGAAACGGAAACCTTCGGAACGAATTAACCGAGTAAGGGAGGGACTTACTGTGTTTCAGCCAACTTTTCTTGGCTGATCAACCACGTCAACGTGGAGTAATGTCTGACGTCTCTGAGACTATCTCTGCTTCCTTCAACAGGAGTTGATGGGATAGCTGCATGCTGTGTTCTCAGGTTATCGAGGTCAAAGTCACATTATTAGTGACGGTAAGTCACTCAAAGGACTTGATGTGTAGCTTCAAAATGTTGGTCATAACCAGGGCCCGGGTTCTGATGACATGTCATATTTTTACCTTGTATCCTATGCGATGCTCTTAAATATATAAATCTCGGATATGAGCTGCTGGTTAGAGAAATGTAAATTTTATAAGTAATTTTTTTTTTAATTTTTTTGGTAAATTTTCGGACTTTTAAAGCGATTTCTGTCCATTTTAGGGAATTTTTCTTCATATGTGTTCTGAAATGTGAATAACATTGAAGCGTTGTGTTCTTTCTTTTCTCCTTTAGGTAATTTTTGTGGATTTTTCTCTCATTTTTTAGTAATTTCAGGTCATAAAATCCGGGTTCTGCATATTACATTTTTGGGTCAATTTTCTGGATGTTTTCGGCCATTATATAGGTCATTTTTTAAATATTTTAATGTCATCAGAATCCGGGCTCTGGTGATAACACAGACCATTCTTTGTCTGTAAATTTGCGGCATTTTCCCTAGGTATGTTTGTAAAGAAATCTGTTGTCTTCTCAAGGGCGAAGCAAGTGGCGTAGAAGGAATGCAAAAAGCCTGAAGCAGATGACGATTCTTGTGTAAATATGGCGTGTGAAAACAGCACTAATCATCTGAAATCCTGAGGATGGAAAGGGGGTGTGGGGGAAGTGAGAGGAAAATTTGTGTCTATAACTTCGAAAGCTAACTGCACATTGATACTGTTTCTTCCAACGGAAGATTTCATTAGTTCAATCTGTGGAATGAAAAGCCATTTCAGGTCAAGGATATATTTACGTTTTGGACAAACTGGATAAACATTCAGAAAATTCTTAGCGCCTCGATCTGGTCCGAGACCAAGTCACATATTTCTCCTGTCCTTAGACTCAGAAATATTACGCCACTAAAATCGCAGCCCAGGGACTTTCCTATGGCGAGCCATGGAAATATAAACGCAAGGGAAGGAAACAACTGTGGACATGCACACAGCTACTAACGGGGAAAATCTGATGCGGACCAGTAATTAATTTATCATTTAAAAATAATAGCAGTTAGGATGCAAAAATAGAGTATGACAGGACACAAAGAAGATGATAAAATTGGTTACACTGAAATAATAAAACCAATCACATCAAATAAACGTCAGTTAAATAAAACATATAAACATCTGACAACATTTCGATACGGACCAGAGAAATCACACAAGAAAACTGAATCCGACGGTGACTATACTACTCAAACCTTTAATTTTATGAACCTCATATACTAATCAGGCTTCCAATAAACAATACAGTGTTAATGCACTTAAAGATATCGAGTTAATTGTAAAAAAATCAATGAAATCTACAGCAAACATTAAAAATGTGAAACCAAAATACTGAACACATCTTCACAACAATGAACAGGGAAGATTGATGTGTGAATATTCCTGTAATACCATAGAACAAAACTTCAAAGAGATTAATACAACTTAAAATAATACGAAAGAATGAGCGTATGTTACTGAAAGGAGTCTTAATCAAGGAAATTATGAAGGTACAATTGTGAAAATCTGGCCCCTAAAAATATCACACGGTAAAACGTTCAGGTTCTGTAACCAGGTAAATTCTTGAAGCAAATATGTTATTTTAAACACAATAATTCAGTTTATGCAATAAATATTTTCATAGAAATGCAAAATAAAAATGTCTCTATAGTCTCGCACTGTCACGATAATTGGATGTTTTCTTGCACACATTAAACGAAAAGGTTATCCCTAATGTTATTCCATGCGATGATTGTTAGTTTTCCGCCACAGGTGAACATTCACTTCCATATCTGACGGTCATGCTTGTTCTGTACTATGTGATTTGAGATGCATATTCAGAACGAAGCGTTGAGTGAACCTTTTCTTACACAGTTTACATGAGAGAGGCCGTTCTCCACTGTGCACTCTCAGATGTCTCTTCAGGATATATCTATAAGCGAAAGTTTTCTTACACACTTCGCATGAAAAGGGCCGTTCTCCACTGTGAACCCTCAGATGTTTCTTCAGACTAGAGCTATACGTGAATGTTTTCTCACACACGTCGCAAGAAAAGGGTCTTTCTCCACTGTGTATTCTGAGATGTATTTTTAGGTCATGAAGCTGAGTGAACCGTTTCTTACACACATCGCACGAGAAAGGTCGCTCTCCACTGTGTGCCCTGAGATGCCTGTTTAGGTTAGAGCTCTGTGCAAAAGCTTTCTTACACACTTTGCACGAAAAAGGCCGTTCTCCATTGTGAATTCTTAAATGTCTGTTTAGGTTAGAGCGGCGTGCGAACATTTTCGTACACACTTCGCAAGAAAATGGCCGTTCTGCAGTATGCACTTTGGTATGGTTGTACAAATTAGCGTGACTTTTTAACTTCTTGCAGTCTTTGCAAGAAAAAAACTCCCCGAGACCACTTGATCGTCGTACTGCACTATGCTTAGGAGTTAATGATGTGACACACATTTCACAAAGAGATGTTGTTTCTCTGTTACTTCCACTTGAATGTCCCAGCAAGTTAGTCTCACGAGACAATGACTTCTTACATATCCTGCAAGAATTGAAGTTTTCTTCTGTGTTTAACAATTCACGAAGAAGAAGTTCCTTGACATTAAAATCCTTATTGACGTGTATTGCTTCAATGTCTGCTGAATTTAATTTAACACTCTGAAAAAAAAAACAGAAATGCTCTAAGAACACGCAGTGAAGTTGGGATCCGAGACATTTTCCACTAATACTCCTGACACCTTTACAAATCCTGTTACACAAGGAGAAATCAAGATGACATAGTGTCCCAGCTTGATCCTCAAATTTACTAATCAAAACATAAATTTCTCTAAGCAAATACTAGCATTTTTCTGCCAGTTTCAGTGGAAATATTGCGTGCTTCTCATGCCATGCTACGCATTGGTTAACCCAATCAGTTAAACTGGTCCTACCATAGACTGGAATTAATGACGAGTGGAGAGTCATCCTTTGCCTAGTATGTCTAAATGTTTGACCGGAATACTTCTTGAAATTCTTACTGGTACAGAGCACGTTCAAGCGTGTGTAAATGATATTTCTGTACATAAAGTTACATTGCAGGATCCTGTTGCACTGCAAATGTCTGACTCTGCGTTTTCATTTAATGCCGTCTATTTGTAACTTCGGTTACAATTACAAACACTACAAGTTTCGGCCATCTTCACGTCTTCAAGGAATCTGCTGCTCACTGTAAAACCTTTTTGTCTCTTATGCACTTGCCTTAGTTTACTTCTAGTTACGTTGGTTAATTTTCTGTTTTCATTTCGGTGTCCTTAAGCTATACGTCTTTTGCATTATTTGTAATATGTGATGTGTTGTGTTAGAGCATTTTCTTGAATTTTATATGTATATTCAGTTAACGTATATATGGTATTATTTGTGGTATGGTTTGATTTGTTGCCTGTGACTCTTTTGGTTGTTCTTGCTTATGGTCGTCAACCATCATGATCCTTCGGTGTAAGTGTTTTCCTGACGTCGGTGCTGTTGCTTCCTAAGATGTATTGTTTGTTGTGTGCTGCTTTCTGGTGTTCGTTTCCTGTAATGCTTTGAATATTGAATTAGGTGTGTCTGTGTAAATCCAAATAAAACTGTATGATATCACTTCATATTGTAACGTGTTTCGTTACTGAATACGCCGTAGAGATCATTAATTGGTTTATTCAACAACCTACAAGTAACGGCTACAATTAATTATTACACAGTTGCGGGGTTTCACACTTTATAACCCTAATCGCATTAATCTGTTAACACTGTTGCGGGGTTTCACGATTTATAACCCTATGCGCAAATCTGTTCACTCTGTGTTCAGTAGTCTACACGTTGACAGTAGGGGAGCTAGGTATCACTGTACCACACGCTCCCAATTACACAGTCACACACACGTCCGGATCTTCTTTCCGCGACGGCTGCTATACTCCAACAGTAGTCGGCTGACTGGAGAACTGTTGATAACACACTCGGCGACTGCCCACATTCCAACTCGGAACTGTCTTCGGCGATGGCCAGGTTACAACTAACTCGGTGGCTGTCACAGTACAACTGACTCGTAGCTGCTGTGCAGTTCACTTATATAGCTGCAGTGCTTGCCTGTTGCGCAATGAGTGCCACGTCACAGTAGGAAGTTGATTACGGGTACGTAGCGTTGCGCGTTACGTCACCGCGGAGGGGCGGGAGGGGAGCGCTGACTCACCCCCCGCGTCACTGCTGGTGGGGGGGGAGTTCTCCTTTGCGCAACATGTCACAATATATTACAGATAAGGCAAACACGATGAAGTCAAGGAAACCAAAGTGAAAGCATATGTCTAAACCACATAACTGGAAGTAATCCGAGGGAAACACTTAAGAGAAACAAAAAAGCACTACAGTGAGCGGCAAATTCCATAATGAGAACAACATTTACATGTGAAGATGGTCGGTTAGACCGATAAGATAAAGTGTAAAAACCGAAGTTGCATATAGACGGAATTAAAGCAAAAGGCATAATCACTTATTCCTGTACATTTGCAGAATTCTGGGATTTCCTTGATACTTAAAAATTTTTATCCTGTAATTATTAGTCTGGATTTTATTTATTGATATTAATTAATAAAATTAAGTGCGCCTCTCTCTTCAATTTAGTTGCATCTGAAAAGCGTTGCTTCTTTAAGAAGAAGACGGCACGTGTAATTTGGAACTGGGGGAAACATAGGCATACCTTATATTTGTGCTGAAACCTTAAGGAACGTGGCCTCGTAGAACACCAAGAGAGAACTGCGAGAGTAATAAGAGACTGGATATTAGCGGAACAAATTTTGGGAAGTGTCTTAAAGTGAAGCGAATGTCTGTTGTGCCTAAATGTTTTCAAATTTCGGTGGTAACATGAAGGTCAGTAAGTCTACGTGGAAGGGACGGTTCTAGAGATCCATCACAGACAGAGTGAACTGCAATGAAGATAAGTGCACATGATGTAGTTACTTGGCACATAAAGTTTAGATGAAGACAATTGGAGAACGTGACAACAAAAAATGTTTCTATTATAAATTTATAATTGGACACATAACACTTACAGCCTGATTCTTCAAAGCAGGAAATGTCCAGTCAACTCGTATGAGAATTATTTTTGGGACTCGAGTTGCTAAGGAATGCAACGTCATTCGCAGTCTCGCAAGGCGCTCTTCTTCACTTGCCATTCTTCTCTTGTTATTCTTCTTCTTCTCTTGCTCTCTGGCGAACACACATACAGTTTAGACGCTGATACACCAGAGAGTGCAGTGAAATACATCACTCCGATGTCAGAAAATGAAGCAAAAAAGTTTGATATGATATTCCAATACATGAATCGGAAAGTTTACAACCCTATCATTGACAATTCCCGTGCTTTTAAATTAATTACAGATTATGCGATTGCAATGTGTATTTACATATGAATACATCTTTCAACAAGTTCTATTGCGAGCCACCGGAGCTCAGTTAGTATAAATTAACGAATTTTCAATTCCGCGCCATAGTTCAAGCGGTTAGTCGCTCGCTTCCCACCGTGGCGGCCCGGGTTCGATCCCGGGTCTGGTCAAGATATATTGTGGTGGACAAAGTGGCCCTGGAGCAGGTGTTCTCTTAGTACTTCCGTTTTCCCTGCTAATCGTCATTCCACAAATTGCTTCACAATCAACCTCACCTATCATCTGGAGCTGGTACAATAGGCCAGAAGTGGCCTCAGTACAACGGACTTAGTCCCACCGTACTAGCATTAAAAAAACTGTTTTCATAGGCCAAATTCCAATCTTATCGCAAATTATATAAAAAAGTTCCGTTGCGGACTTAAAAGTTGAAAATAAATAATTAAGTAGCTGTTCGAAAACAAACTTCAACTTAAGTTGATCCCGAATAGCTCTGCCAGTATACAGACGAGCTGCAGGCTGGACACCCGGGGTTCTACACCGACAGGAACATGATACTTTCCTCAATTCCACAGCGCCCAGACCGAGCCTGAGACCCACCTATACTCTTGTCTGCTTGGTAGAGGATGATATTTACATGCGGATAAATAGACCAGACCTTGGAGCTGACCACTCGATCCATTTAGTGCCGATTTTAAGAGCTGTGGAGATATACCTTCATTCCCACATGTACGTACATTCTTGGTTTACTTCTTGATTAATTAAACACAGAGACAAATTTACCTTTTTCTACCAGATAATTGTATATATAAACAAAAATTCGAAACATTAACGAAATTAAAAATATACGTTACATGCAACTTTCTTCGGACACCTACACATCCCAATGAACAACTACAGTGCAGAACAAATACTGAAATTGTAGGTATAATTTCTATATTTCTTGTTCATTTGTCATTGAATTTTTTTTTCAATTTACATGATCCTTTCAGCCGCTTTATGGCCATGATAGAAGCTGAGTCGACCCCAGGGCCATTGTGCGGTTGGAGTATTTACGTATTTTTTGTATATAATACATTTTCATATTTTACTTATTTTATTAACATCTCACAGGATGTTCATTTCGGAACTGCTGCCGTACACATCCTTTAGAAACCACGGATTTGAATTAGCCGCAGATGAATTTCTATTGTTCTTAACATAGTCACGTAAAAATACGGGATTGGCAGTAAATACTTTCACCTGCAATATTTCTGAATCCTCCACTCATCACAGCAACACTGTACTGATATTGTGGGCTACAACTTCGAGCGACTATTATAATATACTGGAGCATGTAGACCCGTTACTGAGTAACGCCTTTGCAAACAGACATGTTCCTACGGTGACGAGTGCGCGCGCAACAATAGAGAAACTGATGTAAACGGAGTTTTCTATGCGGCCCGTCCTGAAATATTATAAGGAGAATAACTGGAGCTACAGTTCACATAGACTGAGGGCCACTGGTGCTCATGTTATATTGAATGGACGGATTTTCCACTTCGTCAATCATGTAATATATTTGGGTGTAATCTTCGATAAGAGGATTACCTGGAGACTGCACAGAGAAATGATTGAAGTCAATGCAGTCAGAACTTTTATTAGAAAGTACTCCTATTCAGAAGTGAGCGTTTAAGCGCCAAAATTAAACTAACCCTCCATAAGGCACTGATCACAACATTAATGGCTTATGCTTGCCACGCTTGCGAATTAACGGTAGACACCCACCTTCCGAAGTTGTAGCGCCTACAAAACAAATTTCTCAGCGTCATTCGAAATTTCCCAAGGCGCACTCCGGTCTATAATTTGCACATGACTTTCAACCTTCCCTTTGTATACGATTATAAGAAAAATTGCAGGCGACAATCAGAAGTCATACAAAATCTTGAGAATGAACATGTTCGTGGTACAGGATAAGGCGTAGCCAGGTGTAGCAAATGTAAGAGGCTTAAACTTTGCACTGGTGAATCTTACGAATGTTAAATCGTCTAAGCTGCTGTTGTAGCGTAAGATACGTAAGACAAGTATAGTTTTCTTTGCAAATCCTGTACTTACAAAGGACTCAAGCCCGTGCCATAGCTCAAGCGATTAGTCACAGGTTTGCCAACACGGCGGCCCTGTTTCGATCCCTGGTCTGGTCAAGTTGGATTTGTGGTGGACAAAGTGGCTTTGGGGCATGTTTTCTCCGAGTCTTCGGTTACCCCTGCCAGTCTTCATTCATCCAGTTGCTCTACAGTCACCCTCACATATCATCTGAAGTTGGTACATTAGGCCAGAAGTGGCAGCAGTACAAGTCCCACCCCACAGGTAATAAGAAATAAAGAGGACTTACATATAGCGCGAAAGGAAGAATTCAATATCATGCGACACGTGCATTTGACGAAAGGCCAAGCATACGCGTATTCATAAGAGATAATCTATCTTCTCTTTAGAGAGGATATTACGTAAAGACTATTGTTGCAAGGCCTCGGTTGATAAAGAAAACCGTCTGATCGTGAGTCTCAATTGTTTTGACTCCAAGACGAAATGATTTGCGGTAAACAGACAGTCGTAATAAGATTTTGACGTCGACTTTTAGAGCTCATAGATGTGGGATATTTCCTGGACATTAATGAAGCCAGCACGGAAAACGAAGGCTCTCCATTTTTGGAAGCCTTTGCCATGGAACGACTGGTGAAGACACAGTAGATTGTAAGACTTAAATTTTGATGTTGTTATTTTTTAATTGATCAGCGATGGCGCTATAATTATGTGTAGTCTAAATTCTGTACTGGGAACCCAAGATATCTTAATACCTTAAAGTGACAAAACCCTTGTCGAAATTCTATGGCATTACACAGGTCACTAATGAAAATAAAATAGAGCGGGGATTTATTATCTTCAAGAAAATACATACATATAGAATGTTAATCTCTTTCAATCATTGATTCATGTATATGAAATGTTGTGAACCCTGGAATTTTGATTTTCTTTTCAACGAATGAGAATTAAAAATTTTAGTCCTACTTCACGGCTACAAAATATTTCTCAATTACGAAACAGTCCGTTTAGTAATGTTTAAGGATATAGTCGTAGCTTATCCTGTGAAACATATGAAACCACCCATAATATTGTGACATGTTGCGCTAAGGAGAACCACCCCCCACCAGCAGTGACGCGGCGGGTGAGTCAGCGCTCCCCTCCCCCTCCTCCGCACGGTAACGAAGCCCGCCCCCCCACTCCCCTCCCCNCGTGGCCATCGCCGAAGATAGTTCCGAGCAAGCTTACGAGAGCGTGTTATCAACAGTTCTCCAGTCAGCGGACTATAGTTGGAGTATAGCAGCCGTCGCGGTAAGAAGATCCGGACGTGTGTGCGATTGTGTAATTGGGAGCGTGTGATACAGTGATACAAAGCTCCCCTACTGTCAACGTGTTACTACTGAAGACAGAGTGAACTGATTTGCGCATAGGGTTATAAGTCGTGAAACCCCGCAACAGTGTTAACAGATTAATGCGCTTAGGGTTATAAAGTGTGAAACCCCGCAACTGTGTGATAATTAATTGTAGCCGTTATTTGTAGATTGTTAAATAAACCAATTAACCATCTCGACGGCGTCTTCGGTAACGTAAACACGTTACAATATATTCTTTAGCCAAAACACAGATTTTCTACTATGTTAAAGGGCATAATATATATACCGATTGTTAAAAATATTTAAATGTAAATGTATAGTACGCCGGTAACGGTAGCCGAGCGGTCTAAGGCATGTACTGTTTTCGCTCGCTTGGAAACCGGGATCGTGAGTTAGAATCCCACTCAGGGCATGGATGTTTAGTTTGTGTAGTGTATAGGTAGATGCCTTGCGACGAGCCGATCACACGCCCAAGAAGTCCTACCGAATGTGTAAAATCTAAAAAAACCGAAGTGATCGGATTTCATGGAGGTAGGCCTAGGACCACTGGGGCTGTATTCCCAAGAAAAAGAAAAATGTATTGTACTCACTAAAAGCAACGAATATTCCCAGGCTAATGTGTCCACAAACCAGTGCCTAATCAGATATGGGCGATGTTCATCTGATCCCTACAGCCGGTTCTGCACGTAGATCCCATGCATTTCAAAACGACTCTCAGCTCTTTGGCGCACAGAAGTGCGCACTCTGCTCGAAGTTCCTAGGTTCTCTCCAATCCCCTGATAGGCATTCTGTGCTTGTTGCTGTGATACCTTGAAATCACAGATCGACAATGAGAATACAGAACTCTTCCTGTGTCCCACAACCAAAATACAGAAAACTGAGATCATAGAATCGTGAAAGCTAATTGCCAGGATCTTCGCATTTTACTACTCTTCAAGGAAAGTGGGGCTGTGTTGGTGTCTGACAATGTAGAGAAAATGAGGTGATGCCCTATCAGGTATGGACTTATCTGATCGTTGTGAAGTGGCACAAGTTACAGGATTCATTCATCAGTAATCTGTTAAGACGACAGGTCGACAGTCTCTTCCAAAACAGTTCCTCCACTTAATGCGATCTAGAGCTTTCTCCTTCAAATAAGAATATCCTCTTCTGTCCAGAATGTAGGTTACAAGAGTAATAGGTAAATCACTTACAAACAAAGACGGTGCACTGCACCTGCTAGTCTGCTAGGGAAGACAAGTTGTCCTAATATTTCATCATCTAAGGCGCCCACCTGGACACTCACTAACCCATATATGAGTAAACACTAATTGCTGGAAACTTGTTGTCGAGGACCTGTTTTGCTCAATTGAATGGGTACTATACCACTTACAGATTTTAACATCAACCTCTTTAACTTCGTGTATCGTTCCATGTCCCACCATTCCCTACTTCCTTCTGCGTTCCATTCCTTCTATACCATAGCTTCACCCTCTTCTACTCCATTGTTCCCCATCATGTCATGGCCTCCTGAGCCCGTTGCTAAGTTCACTCGGTCACTCAAGCGGTGCAGCAAACGTAGCCTTTCGGCCAAATACTTTTATATTTACTTACTAGCTAAATCGTTTGTTTCTGAGCCGAAAAATCGACTGCGCTCTGGATTTCGGTTTGTAAAATTACTTTTATTTCTCTTAGACTTTACCTGTATTATTATTGGTATTAATGTAACATGCATAGCTAGGCAACTGCGCAATAAACACCTCTCATAAGCGCACTCAACATTAGGAAGAATTATTACAGCTGGTTATTAGGCATTGCAAAAGTGGCACGACGCAGGGAACAGGTGTTTCATAGACAATGAAAAAACGATATTACACCGAGAACACGGAAAAGACGAACGGAGGAGAACAGACACTGAAAGGGACCAGAATGCAAAAATGGCATAACGGACGGAGGCTTAAGACCGCAACTACGGCTACTTTGTCTAAGGTAGAAGAAGGGAACCACGAACGGACAGCGATTACATCTGGAGAGCGAACGGAAGATCAGGGAACACCTGGATTATATTTTCAGAGAGATCACGAAACAAGTACTCAGAACTTCCAGACGGTTAGGAAGAATTATGGATTGAACTCTGTGGTGTGGTTGACCCCTTCCGAAGCGGAAAAAGAAGCAGAGATAGTGTAAGTAGAGTCGGATATGTGGGAGCATTGGTCGATCCAAGAGTTACGGCCCCTTCTGCTGAACAAGGGAGAGAAAATGAGAAAGAGAATTTTTGCATTATGGTGAGAACCTGGACTAACTGGAACAGTATAAGGAAACCACTCGGGACGAGCTGGCCTTTAGGACGGGGCAGTGGTAGCGGTTAGAGAGCAGCCATATCAGAGAGATAGAGAGAGAGAAATAAGGAACAGCTTGCTAAAGACGTTGAAAGCGCAGTCACCGGAAAGCAAAATAAGTTATACACCGTTAGGCTCGTCGGGACAAAGAGACTTCAGTAGTGGGCGATGTTACATTTTCACTTGTCACAGTGACTAAATCCGGGATTTGGATTAGTAATTGAATTTATTAACAACCCACAGCTCGTAACAACAATTAATTATTACACTATTTTTGCTTTACACAATTTACAGTTACTCCACAATTATCTTCACTATTTTTTGCGTATTTATAACGCAGTAACTATAACAGTTTCATTGAATTACACACTCCAAATATAACAAAGAAATTAAATCTTCTCTCACACGTTAAAAATTCAGAGGCCGACTTCTTCAACTACGAAATTTCCGTTATCTCATACCGACAACCGACTTGCTTACTTGTTCGGGTGATTCTGCTGCTACTACGTACTGCTAGTAAACCGTAACTGCTATACTACAGCTTTTGCTGTCCTCTTCTTCTGTAACTTATTTATATAGCCGCGGAACGGACCTGGATCTACAGTAAACACATACACCGTGATCGCTTACCGAATAGTCTATTGGTGTGTCAGTAGGATCTACAGAAAGCATAGTTTCTTCTATTGTTGCGTGTCGAACCGTGTATATAGGTCTGTTGTCTGCCAACGCTATGACCAATCCGTCATAATATTCATCCTTATAAAATAATATCAGTTAGGATGCAAAACAGATTATGATTGGAAACAAGGAAAATGTTGTTAAAATTCTTTACACTGGAATAATAAACCCAGTTACATCAGTTGAACACCAGTTCAATAAAACACATAAATAGCAAAAAATTTACGGCACGAACCAGAGAAATCATATGGAAACGCGAATCCGAAGGTAACTATACTTTCCCAAAATAAAATTATATAAACCCAATATACCACCGATAAACATTACTGAGTTAAGGCACGTAAAGTAGCTGATTTAATCGTAAAAATTCAAAGAAGTGAACAGAAAATATAAAAACTGAAATTAAATATTCAACACATCTTCATAACAATAAACAGAGAAAATTGATGTGTGATATTCCTGTAATAGAAAGATATAAAGCTTCAAAGAGTTTCACAGAAATTATACTCGTATATATGAGTATATATATGAGTACTCGTATATATGAGGATATAAATGTGACAACTGACCACGAAACATATCAGACGATCAAACATTTACATTCTCTAACCAGAGGAATTCTTGCAGCAAAACAGATTATTGTACACACCATAATTCAGTTGAGACAATAAATATATTTTCATAGAAATGCAAAATTAATATATATCTGTAGAATCGTACTTTCGTGTTGAATGGATGCTTTCTCTTTCATGATATTCCTCGTGACACCTTTTTAATTTTCAGCTGAGTGTGGACATTCAAACCATATCGCACGATCATGGTTGTTCTGCAATGTGAGATTTGAGGTGCATATTCAGAATGAAGCGATGAGTGAACCCTTTCTTGCACACTTTGCATGTAAACGGTAGTTGCCCACTGTGTACTCTGAGATGCGTGTTTGGGTTAGAGCGCTAAGCAAAACTTTTCTTACACACTTGGCAAGATAATTGCTGTTCTCCACAGTGGATTCTGAGATGGGTGTTTAGATTCGAGGGATGAGAGAATGTTTTCTTAAACACTTTGCACGATAATGGCCGTTCTCCACTGTGCAATCTGAGATGATTCTGCAGGCTAAATTACTCAGAGAAAGCCTTCTTACAAAATTCGCAAGGAAATGGTCGTTCTCAATTCTGTACTTTTCGATACCTGTATAGGTTATAGAGCTGAGCGAACCTTTTCTTACACACTTCGCAGGAAAATGGCCGTTCTCCAGTGTGTACCCTGATATGATTCTCTAGATTAGCACGACCAGTGCAACTTCTCTTGCATACATTGCATGCAAAGGGCGATATACGACCACTGAATCGTTGTGCTTCACTACGCTTAGGAGTTAACTGTGTAACACACATTTCACAACAAGTCATTGCTTCTCTGCTGCTTCCAACTACATATTCCGACAGATTATTTCTACGAGAGAATGATTTCTTGCATATCTCGCACGTATGAACGTCCCCTTCTCCGTATAAATCTGGCAATCCTGCACTCTGTTCACAAAGACGTTCCTCTGCATTAACATCCTCAATGAGGTGCGTTGTTGCACTTAATTTAACACTCTGAAAGAAAGGGAAACGGTATCAGGACCTACAGTCGAGCTGGACTCTGAGGCGATTTGAAGTATTTAAGCTGTCACATTGACATATATTGTTGCATGAGAAGAAAGCTAGAATGCATTATGTTCTTCTTCAACCACAAAACACACTAATCTACAGACAATCCCTCTAAGTAAATACTAACATATATCTGCCCGTCGACCAAGTCATTTAAACTGGACCAGCCACCTACTGGAGAATATTGCGAGTGATGGATCACTTTTATGCAGGTATGTATAGGAATTCTCGAAACCCTCATTAATTAAAGTAGATACAGTGCCTCTGAATGACATTCCGGGACATTTGTAAAGTTTCTGAGTCCATTCCATGCGTAACAAAATTCCTTACTCCATAGCCTGTTGGTTTATATTTATAGCAATTAAGTAATGAAGTAATTACAACAGTAGATGTTCAGTGGAATATAATTTTATGAAATTTTAAGGTTTTAGGTTCTAGTTTACTCGACGTTGGCTTTATTGATCAGGCAAACCTCTCTCTCTCTTTCACTAAGTAAAGTATATCATCATCATAATCAGTAATCTGTCAGACGACAGGTCCACAGTCTCTTCCAAATAATTTCTTCACTTAAGGCGATCTAGAGATTTCTCCTTCAAATGACAGTATCCTCTTCTGTCCCCAAGGTCATCCAGCATTTTCTTACGTCTTCTTCCTCGTCTTCTGGTCACTTCTATCCGCCCCTCTGTCTTTCCTTCAATAACTTCTTTAGAATGCAGCTTCTGCGTAAAACATGACTAATCCAAATAGCCATCCGCTTTCTTATTTCGTGTAGGATATTCCTCTGCTCACTGACTCTAATTAACACTTATTCATTTCTCACATAATCTGTCCAAATGATCTTCTCCACCCTTCTCCAACACCACATTTCGAAACTTTCCAGATGTTTCTGATCTACTGCCCCAAGTGTCCAAGTTTCAGTCCCATACAGAGCTATAGTCCAAATGTAGCATTTCACTAGTTTCGTCCTCAAATTTAAATCCAATTTGCTGTTAAAAAGATTCTTCTACTTGCTAAATACAGCTTTTGCCATGGCAATCCTGAATTTAATTTCACTCGTAAACCTTTCATCATCTGTTAACATGCTACCCAAATATTTAAAACATTTCACACCCTCCAGTTGTTTTTGGTCTACCTTTATTGTGACTGGAGTTGGTTGTCTCGAAATTTTCATTACTTTTGTTTCTCCACATTGATTTCCATGCCATGGCACCTTCCAATTTCAATTAGTCTATCAATCATGCCCTGTAGCACAGTTTCTTCCTTAGCCATTAACACAAGTTCATCTGCATATTTCACAGTTTGAATAATTTGCTCTCCTAATTTGAAGTCTCCGAGCCCATCCAGAGGTTTCTTGGTAAGGTATTCGCTGTACAAGTTGAACAGAATTGGTGATAAGCAGCATCCTTGTCGAACTCCTCTTCCAATCTGCACACTTCTTGTCTCCCCTCAGTCCAGTCGTACTCTAACTTTCTGATCCATGTACATTTAGCTGATCAATCTTCTTTCGCGCCAATCAATACCTGTTTCCTTTAGGATCTACTTTAATTTGGTTCAGTTTACACGGTCAAATGCCTTCTGCCAGTCTATGAAGCAAACACACAGTTTTCATCTATCTCCAATGTCCGTTCTGCTATAATTCTCATCATCCCAATTGCATCCCTGGTTCCTTTTCCTCTTCTAAATCCAAACTGATCTTCTCCAAGTATATCCTCTATTTTCCTTTCAACTTATCTTTTAAGTATCTTTGCTATTATCTTTGCTGTATGTGCAATAAGGCTTATTGTGCGATGATCGCTGCATTTTGTATCTTTTGTCTTTTTCTTTAAGGCACTCATTGTAACTTCTGTAAAGTCCTTGGGCCACTCTCCAATTTCATATAAGGTGTTCATTAGTTTTGTCAGTGTTTTCAACCACCTTCTCTCAGTAACTTGAGCACATTTCCAGGTACATCACCATCTCCCGTAGCCTTTCCCTTCCTCATATCCTTGATAGCTTTTTCCACCTCACTTTGTAAAATATATGGTCCTTTCTCGTCTCCATCTACTTCTTCTTCCGGTTCAATCAGTCCATTTCGTCAACAATAATCAATAAGTATTTGACCCCTGTTATTCCGTCTTCCTAGTCCATGTGATCCAACAATATTCTGATATGGTTCATCTCTAACAATGTTTTTCCAGTCTCCCAATATGATTCACAGTAAAAACCATTTGCAATACACGAACCAGTGAAATCACATGAGAAATCTGGATCCGAAGTAACTACACTATTCCAAAATTAATATATAATCCTAATGGACCAAAAATATTTCCAGCTAAACAATAATGAATTCACGCAAGAAAAGAAGTTAAGGTAATTGTGAAAATTCAATGAATTGAAGAGAAATAATTAAAAATATGAAATAAAATATTGGACATATCTTTGTAACAGTGGACAGAAAGAATGATGTTATAATATTCCCGTTAATACAATCAAATGAACATAAAATTATGAATAAAACCCATAGAATTACGAAAAGATATAGTATATTTTCAAAACGAGTCTTACTCATGGAAACATTGAGGTGTGGGGCTCTCTTATCGTGTGTAGTCTTTGTCATTACTCCTATGACAACCCACTTCTTCGGAACAATTTGTTGGCCCTGAAAAGGACCGTGGTTGCTGAGATGATTGATCGGTGAGGTAGCGCGGCGCGCGCCGGTAAGGAGAAAGGCTAGTTACGGTGAATGGCTAGTGAAAAGGCAAGTCGTTGAGCGCGGTCGTAGGAGCCATGAGGCAGTGGCTACGCCAGAAGCCCAGTGGGTCGGACCGTAACACGACCACCGGCGAGTCCAGGCGCTGTGCCCCAGTGAGTCGGGTGTGGGAGCGCTGGAGGGCCGAGGCAGTCGTGCCCGGCGCAGCCTGCCGATGTATCCGAAGACCGAGCGCTGGCGACGAAGCCTGCTGGCTGAAGTTGCTTGCTGTCTGATGAACTGAATTAAACTGGATAACTCGACTCTGGGGTCGCTCCTTTTTATACGCTGGTCGGTGGGGCGGAGCCAAACTCGAAAGTGAGGAGCAAGAATTGATTGGCTAGCGCGCGTAATGGTGTAGACGCGGGCTATCGCCGAGCGTAGTATAAATGCGATCGTTTGAAGCAATCTGATTGGTTAGCGCGCGTGATGGTGAAAAGTGATGTGAAGAGCGAGCGTTGCAGAAATGCGTGATAATGTGGGATGTTCCCACAGAGGATTTAAAAATTTGAAACAACTGGCACGAGACTTATCACACAAAAAAACGTTCAGGTTCTGTAGCCAGATAATTTCTTGAAATAAAATATAACATTTTAAACAGAATAATTCAGTTGACACAATAAATATATCTTTATAGAAATGCAAAATTCAGAATGTATCTGTATACTCGCACTGTCACTTTGAAATGATGCTTCCTTGCACACATTACACGGAAACGTTCTCTCTCATGATATTCCATGTGACGCATTTATTTTTCTGCCACGAGTGAACATTCCTTTCCATATCTCATGATCATGCTTGTTCTGCACTGTGTGATTTGAGATGCATATTCAGAATAAAGCGGCGAGTGAACCTTTTCTTACACAATTTACACGAAATATGCCGTTCTCCACTGTGCACCCTCAAATGTTTCTTCAGGATATATCACTTTGCGAAAGTTTTCTTACACACTTCGCAAGAACATGGCCGTTCTCCACTGTGAACTCTGAGATGTATTTTTATGTGATGGAGCAGAGTGAACCGTTTCTTACACATATCGCACGAGAACGGTCTCTCTCCACTGTGAACTCTGAGATGCCTGTTTAGGTGAGAGAGTTGAGCGAAAGTTTCCTCTCACATTTCGCATGAAAATGGTAGTTCTCCATTGTGAATTCTGAGATGTGTTTTTAGATGAGAGTGCTGGTTGAACGATTTCTTACACACTTTGCACGAAAAAGGCCGTTCTCCACTGTGAACTCTGAGATGTGAGTTTAGGTGAGAGCGCTGGGCGAACGCATTCTTACACACTTTGCACGAAAAAGGCCGTTCTCCATTGTGAATTCTTAAATGTCTGTTTAGGTTAAAGCGGCGTGCGAACGTTTTCTTACACACTTTGCAAGAAAATGGCCGTTCTGCAGTGTGAACTCTGGTATGGTTGTGAAAATTAGAGTGACTAGTGAACTTCTTGCAATCTTTGTAAGAAAAAGGCTTTCTGAGAAAACTTGATCCATGTACTGCACTATGCTTAGGAGTTAACAATGTGACACACATTTTATAACGAGACATTGTTTCTCTGCTACTTCCACTTGCATGTCCCAACAAATTATTCCCACGACACAATGACTTCTTACATATCTCGCAACAATCGATGTTTTCTTCTCTGTTTAACAATTCTGCTCCTTGCTCACGAAGAAGTTCCTTGGCATTAACAGCCGTATTGACGTGTGTTGCTTCAATATGTGCTGCATTTAATTGAACACTCTGAAAGAAACAGAAATGCTATCAGATCCTGCAGTGGAGTTGGATTCGGAGTCATTTTGCACTATTACAATTGACACCTTTATCAATACTGTTACTCAAGGAGAAACCAAGTTGACATTGGGTCCAAAATACTAGAATGTGTCTCCCTGTTTAAGTGGAAATGTTGAATGCGGCAGAAGCCATGCTACGCTTTATTTAACCCAGTGAGTTAAACAGGTCCTGCCACCGACTGGAATTATTTGCGAGAGAAAAATCATCCTTTGCCTTGTATGTGTAATAATTTTACAGAAATATTTCCTGAAATTCTTACTGGTTTAGTCCATTTTCAAGCGTGGTAAAATGATATTCCTCTATACAAAGTTCAATAGTGTGGTCATATTGTACTGCACAACACCTTACGTTTGTGCTGAGACCTCTAGGATCGTAGCCGCTTACAAGTGCAAGACAGAACTGCGAGAGTAATAAGAGACTGGATATT